CTCCCTTAACTCTTTAACTCTTTAACACGCTTATCTAATGTCACGCTCAGACCCGCCCCTATGTCCTCTATGTAACGTCCCTCTTTCAGTTCCACACATTCTCTTGTCCTGTCCACGCATTAATACAGCACGTACCTCTGATTCTCCACACCTATCCTCCCTTCACCGACCTCCCAACATATCAGACATCCTAACAGAATCCCACAGCTTCTGCCTTGACAACCTGTTCTCCTTCCTCAGACGCATAAATATCCTTCACTTGATCTAACTCCCTTACCTAAACCACCATAACCTTTTCCCCCATCTTCAACCTTTCAACACTACTCTAGATAGTTAACACAGCAACTATCACCTGACATCCCCCTTTACTATGCCTTCCATAGTGCAATTTGACCTTAGATGTCTAGCACATTTGCTTTTAACCAAATCAACAATAGTGTGTGATATGAAACTCAAATGGTAGCTGCTATTTGCCACAACACCAATACCCGCTATTCTAAGTAAAAAATAAAAATAAAAAAAGCAGATTTACTAATAATCGCATTGACTTGTGCGTCTGGCAGCGTGTCTTACATCTGTGCAAGTACGGTGAATCTGGATTAAACTTTAATCCGGGTTTAACTTCTATGACGCGTACAGGAGACACCCATAGATAGTAATGACAATTGTTCGCGCATAATAGGAAACCTTGTTATAAAATTGATATACAGAAAATTGCCCAATATAAGCCTCGATGAAACCCATTTTTGATAGAAGTGGTAGCATATCGAAACTTTCAATCATAAATCCCGGATTTGTGCTCTCCTTTATAGTCTGTGAATTTTGTTGAGCACAGATTACCTCCACAGATGGCAAGTGAAATGTTACAAATAGGTCGCATTGACAGCGCCTTAGTTTACCATTCCTTGATTTGTTATATATCTTTCTAATAACTTTAATATCCGTTCTGTTATTGTCATGATTATATTTTTATATACAAATATAAAGCTATAAAGTATCTTATCGAAAATCATTGAAGAGGGAAAACAAGTGAGGTGGATAAGACAAAAAAAAAAAAAAAAAAAAAAAAGACTGGTGACGAAACACTTGTGGACTTTCAGTAAACAATTAAGACACTAATATTACAGTGGATATGGCATTTATTGTCATACGTGGCCATTAGGTCAAGAATGGTTAGCCCGTTATATTACTGTAGACTTATATATGCATTCATATATCTCAACTCGAGTAGGTGCAACCAGGATGGCCTGGATACAGCCAGGCTTGTTACGTAATCTTGGTTACATATCGTGCATGTTGACTGGTCGATGATAATCTGCTGTCAAGTATCATTAACCGACACAAAGTGCCTTAGTCTGCTCGTAATTGCCTGAAAAATGCTTTGGAAAGAAACCGCTCTCCAGAAACCCATACGTACTAGGAGACGTCCTGAATCTGCCATTGCTTAAGGGAAGTCTGCTTTTTTCGATTTTTCTTGCCGATTTTGATGAAACTCACACCCTTTTATTTGGGCCCCTTCCCATTGCCTGTGGTCGATTTTTTTTCGAAGTCGCCCGAACAGTTTTTGAATTATTGTCAAAAAACGAAAAAATGCGAAATTCGCCATGTTGAAAATGCAGCACCTAGGCCAAAGGATTCCGACTTCAGAAACGGCAAGACATTCAATTTTATTTGATTTTTGCACAGAACTACCTTATAGTTTTTTTTTCGACTTCATTTTTTTTTTTTTTTTTTTTTTGAAGTAGGGGACTTCAAGAAAAAAAGGTAAACATTTTCTTACATTGACCACTTTTACAAGAAGTACAGGCAAAAATTGCGAAAACGCTCTCGATCAAGTTGCAGATATTTTATTTTTCTACAAAATGAGCCATAATATGTTAATTTTGGACATATGGTGTGCCCGGAATCCTTTGACCCACCCCTAAAGGTGGAGTTCCGAGATATCGGCATTTTACGTTTCTTCATCTTTCCAAGGCTATCTTGATATCAACAAAACAAGGCATAAGATTAGTCTTTCTACACCATAATCCTCTATCATCTACCTGCATTCCGAAGTCTTGCGGACATTGCCAGCACGTAACGGTTTCTCAAAATCTTACGTATAGTGCGGAGTGGTGGCAGTGATCTGGGGGTCTATAGGCCTACATTGACCATTTTTAAAAATTTCTCAAAAATCCAAAAATCATACAGCCATTCTGATTTCATGTTTGAATAGAACTATCTTTCTACTATTATATGCAGAAGCCATTTTTGAGAAGTTGACCTTACTTTTTTCTTGGTGAATATTTTCCGAAGGTGATTATTTTAACACCCTAACAGATTTTGAAAACATATGTCACTTTTACAAGAACCACGTGAAAATATTGCAAATCCTCATGGCAATATGTAATAGAACTATTATTCAGCTACAAAATGAGCCATAATACTTTAAAATCGGACCGAATATACGTGTGCTATGCGTAAAAATATGACGGACCTAATAATCGCGATCTTATTCCTTTTTATTATGTTTACATTTTACATGACAAATCATGTACAGAATACTTGTATTTGATATATTTATCTATCATTTACCTATTATTGATGCTCTAATAGGGTTTTACAACGTATAATATTTGTCGAAAGAATAACTTTTCTCCAGTCGGACGGGTACCAAACGCATACTTTTCCCCGCGCGGCCGGGCCGTCCTGGACCATGAAAATCGTCTTTTTAAATCTGCGGAATAACTCTACGGGGTCACGTAGCCTAATTTCACTCTCAGACCCCGTGGAAAGACGAAAAACAATTACATGGCGATGTGAAAGTATGTATATAAGGTATATGAGCACATATAGATAATTTTCGTGTACCCCATGACCTTTTGTTTATTTATATTGTTACTTCCGTTTGTTTCTTTGTTTGTTTGTTGATTGTTTATTGGTTGTTTTTTTGTGTTAGTTTGTGTTTTCTAATATTTCTAAAAGTTATGAACACATTTTAACGAGATTTTAACCAAAGGTGAGTTTTAACCTAACTTAGACGCTAATTGCAGTTTGGTGGTGATGCGGACCATGGTTTGGATCCAGGATTTTTTTTTTTTTAACTCGAAAAGTTATGAACATATTTGAATAAAATTTTAACCTGAGGTTTGTCTTAGCCTAATTAATATTCCATACAATTTTGGTGGTGATCCGGAATATTTGGCAAAACTACCACCCATGGGTGGGGGGGGGAGGTTTGCATTTTCGAAATGTTTTGCTCATAGATCAAAGTAACTATGTATGATGAAAACATAAAGAAAAGAAAATACACCATATGAATAACATATGTTTAATTATTTGTATGGAAAATTTCTTCATTGTCGTTTTTTTTGACGCTTGCCGACTTTTTGAAATTATTCCGAAAAAAAGAAGGTTGGTCTCATCTTATGTGAAATTTGATAAGCTTTCAGAAAATAACCTCATATTTTTATCATCTCTAATCATTGCGTCACAATTGCCGATTTTCTAAGGTAACATAAAAAAAATAATATTTCAGTCGGCATCGAAAATCGCTGCTACCACCTAAAAAATAATGGTCGGGCCTTGAAATTTTCATGGGAGAACCGGGGGCCTAGAAGCTCCTTGAAAATGCATTTAACTCAATTTCGGCAAGAGGGGCGAAAATCGCCGAAAAATCACCAGAAGGTCCCCTTAAGCATTTAGTTTGTGACCCTTTTCCACGTTCATTTCTATGAATAGCACCGGAGGAGGCGAGGTAAGAGGACCTTTTCATCTGCCACCCTCGTCACCTTTCAACACAGCTGCCCATGGCCCGGGATCGGAAATAGGGTTATGATTGTTGAAGCAGCTATTTATAAACAAAACTATACCTTAAAGGAATACGATGATTTCTATGAATAGCACCGGAGGAGGCGAGGTAAGAGGACCTTTTCATCTGCCACCCTCGTCACCTTTCAACACAGCTGCCCATGGCCCGGGAGCGAATGTCGGGGCGTCGCCTCCACTCGCCTAGGGCCGATATTTAGCTAAGCTTTAACGACCATGGCTGATAATTGTAATGATTTACTACAGTACACGTGCAATTTCACAAATTAATATTGCAGATAAAGTAAACCTACAGTACTATAGAGCACCCTTTGCAACGGCCCTTACTGTTACTGTTCCCTGAAGCAACTGAATTCACTTGAACAAACAACGTAGTTATAGAATCGGACCCATATTAATCTTAATAAAGGAATCCGGAATTAGGTGTAATTACAGAAAATGGATTATTGACACGGCGTAAAAAAAAAAAAACTTATTTACTATCTGTTAATCGTGACAAAATTATTGATAAGTAAGATTTTGCTCTGTACAAATACACGAGTTGCAGGTTTTCAATAGTTAGGCGACAGTTATTGTATTCATTGGTTTTCTCAAATTTCGAAAATCTAAATAATTGAGAAAACAAATTATTTTTCCGTCGCTTTAATCTGATACAATCTGATTCAGATGTGAACAGAACAAAAAGTTTTAAAATCATTTTATTCCTAATTTTTTACCCCCGGTATTCAGCATCAATGCAGATGTAACAAAAAATCGATGGCATCTGCCGTTTGTCCCCGGTTTTATCAAGAGATCATTTCTGTCTGCGGGCACATGAACAATACTGATTCCTAGCTTGCTATATCTTTGTCATCGATATTTCATATTTTTACCACCTCTCACATTTTTCCAGAAATCAATTAAAGTCAAAACACCCAATTATTTTTATTTCTTTATTTTGCTACCGCGTCTTCAGTTATAAAAGCCGTAAACCAAGGAATAAAATAATTGTGGCCTAATTGTGATTCATAGTTTAGTCACACAACGATGAGCTCGAGCATTTTCCAAATGAAGTGGGCAAAAATATTTATATGCATTAAGCGTGAATTCAGTTTTGAAAGCGACTCTTAAATGCCCATAAGCAAGTAGTTTATAGATTGCTTCATGGCCGAACTCCTTTTCCATGTAGTACGTGAAGGAACATAATAGCCATG